TTGTAAATTAGCAGCATGTTCAGAAGTGCCATTGTTTTCACTCTTAGGAAGTTTGTGATGAGAATTTTGTAGGCATCCTAGAGACTTTTTCGCATTCCTTTATTCAGGAGTATTTTAGACATCATATGTACCATTTTAAAAGCTTAAAAGTAGACTTTGGTTGAATGATGTTGCATAATGATATATGTCAGTTCATCCCCGATTGACATTAGAGAGGACCTTTACCTAATACTTTTTTCTCCAAATGAAACAAGAATATTTCCTATGGGACCAGACAGAAAAATTTTAAAGGAGCAGAGGTTTTTTAAATAGTTTAAAATGTAGCCTTGCTCCTTCTACCTCATTTAGTTTTCCTTTTGTCAACCATGATAGCCCAGGGTCAGTTCCTGTGTGGTCTCCTCTGTGGCTGTGGCTCTTTACTGGTTTCACTGGCCCGGCCAGGCGGGGCAAGCAAGTCCCACCAAGGACACATGGAAAACATCCAAGATGTTGTAAGGAATAAGGTGGGTTTTTTAACCAAAAAAATACCCACCAAGTGGAAGGGGAAAAGTTTGAAACCCAAATACTCATGGCACTTCCCCTAGAATTGAGAGGAAGTGATTCCTATAGACTCTAACAGATGAGTCCTTGTACCTTTTCCTTATACCGTACTATTTTTAGGAGTAAAAGATTTAAATGTGGGATGATGTTAAGCTTACCAAACTAAGTGACATGTTTTGAACAATTGGCACAAACCTGGATATGTTTTGAAAAATATCTAGAGAAAGATTATTTTAAAACTGTGGTTTTTCTTATTATAAGAATTTTTCTTAGAACTAACATTTACTTATTTCTTCACTCTACATGTTATCATCTCATTTAATCTTCCAGGCAACTCTTTGAGGTAGACATTATTACTGTGCCCATTTTATAGATGAGAAAACTGAGACATGGATCCAGGCAAGTAACTTGCCAAAGGTTACACCCTAGGAAATATCAAGCCAGGATTTGAACTCTGGTTTTGGAACCTACTCTCTTAATCATTCTTCTGTATTACCTCTTATGAGAAGTATTCCATTTTAAATTTCGCTTATGAAGAAACATTAACTCTTATGCTGTTGTAGTGGAGTTACATAGAAGCACACCTGTGCATTGTGCATCAGGCCAGTTCTAAGAGTCATTTTTTATCTTCTCTTCACCAGCGTGTAAAAGTGAGACTTGTTAAAATGGCACCATAAATGGTATTTTTGGTAGTGTTTGCTGGAGAAGAGGAATTCTGCAGATGTCCCCACCTAGACAAGGCAGCCTGTCCCACAAGTTGGATCCTTGAGTGAGGCCTCATGATGCATCAGGGGACAGGCTGCTGAGCTCCCAGGCAGGGGCTCTGAGGCTCACATGACAGGGCTTCAGGGCGAGGGCCCAGTGAGCCTGTGCTGGGGGCCTGACCCCCCCCATCTGAGCAGGGCTGGGAGGGTGGGTGGGACACCTGTATTCAGGGGCTCTGTTAGGAGATGTATCTTGTCCAGGACATGCAAATACTCTACTAGCTGTCTTAATTAATTTTGTTGTGTTTTACTGATTTTGCTATGTTTTTCTAGTAGGCTTTTAAAAAAAACTTGTTTTTTTCTCAACAGATTTAAAAGAAGAGATACTAACTAATTTCTATTAGTGCTCTAAGAATCTAGCTCTTAAAGAGGCAATGCAGCTAAAACCAGAGGCCACCATTGGCTCCAGCCTGCAGTGGACCTGGCTTCTCAGTGCCCAGAATGGCAGCTTGTCACCTAATGCATTGGATACCTCCTACTGTCATGCAGATCCAATATTGTGTCAGAATTGCCTCCTTTATCTTTGTTCTCAGAAATATTTCTTCTGATTAAATCAGAGTGAAAGAAAGT